ACCGTGGCGGCGAGTTCGCCTCTGGTCGGCTTGGACAGTTCTGTCGTGCGGAGGGCATCACCCAGTTGTACACCTTGCCGGACTCGCCACAGCAGAATGGGGTTGCTGAGCGCCGCATCGGCTTGGTCATGGAGGTCGCCCGTACCTCCATGATCCATGCCGATGCCCCCCATTTTCTGTGGCCGTCCGCTGTTCGCTACGCTGCTCACCAGCTTAACCTGTGGCCACGCTCCCAGCGGCCGCAGGTTTCGCCGACCCTCCTTTGGACCGGTTCCCCCGATGACGCGTCTGCGTTCCACGTCTGGGGCTGCCTTGCTCACGTTCGTGCCTCTGGCACGGACAAGCTCACTGCCCGCACTATCCCTTGTGTCTTCCTCGGTTTCCCCCTGGACTCGTCTGACTGGCTTTTCTACCACCCGCCGTCTCACCGCTTCCTCCACTCTCGTGACGTCACCTTTGACGAGTCCGTCTCCTTCTACCACCGCTTCCCTCACCGGGGTCTCCCAGTTGCCCCCCCCTTGTTCCTTGCTCCCTCTCCCCCGGTAGCCCCTGCCCCTCTCCCGCCTCGTCCTGCCCCGTCTGGTGTCTCTCACGTCACTCCCCTCCCGTCGGTTGTCCCCATTGAGGAGTCTGCTGACTTTGGTGGTAACCCCGGCACGTCCTTGCCGCGTCCCCCTTCCCTGACGTCTCCGCCTCCACTGTCGCAGTCGCCGACCCCGCCGCAGCCGCCGCCGCCGTCGCCGCCGCCGCCATCGCCGTTGCCGCAGCCGCCGCCGCCGTCGCCGCCGCCGCCGTCGCCGCCGCTTTCGTCGCCGCCACTGCCGCTGCCGCTCTTGGCCCCTGGGGGTGCTGGTGTGGAGGAGGGTGTTCGTCCTGCGGCTTCTGCGGGTGCCGCTGGTGTTGGCGGGGGTTCTCGCTCTGGGGGTGTTGGTTCTGAGGGTGCTTTAGTTGAGTGTTCTGCCAACGGTCGTTCCTCCTCTGCTGGTCCGAGAGTTCCGGCCCAGCCGTCGTCGCCTCAGCAGCACCCGTCGCCGCCGGTCTCCGCTCTCCGCCTGCTCGGCCTTCCCTCCCCGGACCGCGCGACGGTGTCTCCCCCACAGCCTGCTGACCTCCCTGTCTACGGTCCTGTGTTCCCGCCGCCGGACTCGTCTCCGGCCCGTCTTCCTCCTCGTTCCCCTCCTGTGTCTCCTCCGCTTTCCCCTGACCCTACCCCTCCGTCTCACGTTTGGGCTCGCCGTCCCTCCCGTGCTCGTCCCGTCTCTCCTGTCCTGCCCACCCACCCTATGTTGCTCCGTTCCCGCTCATCTCGTCCTCCCCTCCTCTCGTCCCCTCCTCCCTCGTGCCTTGTTGTTGCCCCTCCTCTGTTCTCTGACTACCTCCGTGCTGCTCGTCCCCTTGTCCCTCGGGTCCTTGCCTCTCTTGTTACCGGCACCGCTGTTCCTGTCTCGCGCCTTGACGCGCTTGTCGCTGCTGTCGCTGACTTCGCCTCTACCCGCCGCCTTGACTACGCCTCCGCTCTGGTCTCTGACCCTGCCCGTCCTCCGTCCGTCGGGGGTGCTCCTGCCCTTGGCAGTGACGTCCTAGAGGACAGGCAGTACGAGCTTGCTTTCCTTTCCGAGGCTGCTCCCCATCTCTGCTCCATGCTGCTAGTCCCTGAGGGTGACCCAGACGCCTTCGACATCCCGACCCCTCGCACCTACGCTGAGGCCACCTCGGGACCTTGGGCCTCTCAGTGGATAGCTGCCATGGAGCAGGAGATGGCATCTTGGAGGTCCACCGGCACTTACGTCGACGCAGTTCCCCCGCCTGGGGTGAACGTAATCGATGGTCGGTGGCTCTTCAAGGTGAAGCGCCCCCCTGGAGAGCCGCCTGTCTTCAAGGCGCGCTACGTGGCCAGAGGTTTCAGTCAGCGCGAGGGGGTTGACTTCTTCCAGACCTTCGCCCCGACCCCGAAGATGACCACTCTTCGGGCGCTGCTCAGCGTGACTACGAGCTTCACTCCCTCGACTTCTCTACTGCCTTTCTTCAGGGCAGCCTACACGAGCAGGTCTACCTGCGCCAACCACAGGGCTTCACTAGTACCTTCCCTCATGGGACCCAGTGGCTTCTCAGGCGCCCGGTCTACGGCCTTCGTCAGGCTCCCCGCGAGTGGCACGACACGCTACGTGCCACATTAGCAGACCTGCAATTCTTTCCGTCCTCTGCTGACCCTTCACTGTTTGTGCGTTCCGGCCAGACTCCGTTCTACATCCTTGTCTACGTAGACGACCTGGTCTTCGCTACTCCTGACAGGGACGCACTGGCCTCTGTGAAGGCTGAGCTGCTGAAGAGACACACCTGCACTGACCTTGGAGAGCTGCGTCGCTATCTTGGCCTGCAGATCTCTAGGGACAGAGCAGCACGCACCATCACTCTGACCCAGTCACACTTGGTGCGTCAGGTCCTTCAGAGGTTCGGTCTTCAGTTCTCCTCCGCACAGCCCACACCTCTACCCGTAGACCATGGGCTCTCTGCTCCCGTTCCTGAGGAGCCAGTAGAGCCCAGTGGCCCTTACGCAGAGCTGGTGGGTTGCCTCATGTACCTGATGACTTGCACTCGCCCAGATCTCGCATACCCTCTCAGCATCCTGGCTCGCTTTGTGGCCACAGGCAGACACCGACCTCAGCACTGGTCTGCCGCTAAGAGGGTTTTGCGTTATCTTGCTAGTACATCGGGCATGGGGTTGGTGCTAGGAGGACGCAGGCCAGTGGTCCTTACTGGGCACACAGACGCTTCTTGGGCAGACGACGCTGAGACGCTCAGGTCGTCGCAGGGCTACTGTTTCAGCCTTGGTTTGGGTGCTATCTCTTGGAGATCCACTCGCTCGTCGTCTGTGGCTCAGTCTAGCTGTGAGGCTGAGATCTACGCTGGTGCCATGGCGGCACAGGAGCTCCGCTGGCTGACCTTCTTGCTCACAGACTTAGGTGAGCGGCCTAGCTCTGCCCCGGTCCTATACGCTGACAACAGGGCCATGATACTCGTGTGTCAGGAGCCTCGGCTTGAGGGCAGAGCGAAGCATATCCAGCTGCGGTACTTCCTCCTGCGCGAGCTACAGCAGCGCCGCCAGGCCCGCGTAGTCCTCTTGGCCTCTGGTGCCAACACAGCTGATATCTTCACTAAGGCGTTTGCGCCTAAAGATCATCAGCGGCACTGTGTACAGCTTGGTCTTGTTCCTGTAGCTGCTCCGCTGTTAGGATCGTGATTGTGTACTCTCTATTATATATGCTTGTCAGACTGGCCTTGTGGCCTTACCTCCAGAGGCTACACTAGTAGTGCCACCCTGGTTTGCTTTAGTTTTGGTTGTATTCTTGCTGACTGGTCTCCAGACCCCTGCCTCAGTGGTTGGACTAGTAGTGCCGCCCTGAGATGTTTGCTTCTTGTTTAGTTTCACCCCTTGTCTAGCCTAGGGGGTGTGTCAACATATACATATTAGCTATATAGAAGTTATAGGCTAGACTGAGGTATGCTTATAGTGAGTACAACCTGTTAAAATTATATAAGTTATAATTTAATATAGGCTTGGTAGGTTGTTACTGAACCTTACTGTAGGGGGTACAAACCCCTCCTTGTACTCCCCTCTCTTCCTAATCAAACCCCTTTCTTCTCGACATTCTCTCCCTTCCTAGATCCGTTTTTCCTCACGCTATTCCATGGCGGCCTTCTTCCTAGTATCCTAGCCAACCTAGCCTCCTAAGTTTAAGAACCTTGAGTCCTAAGTTTCTAAGATGGTATCAGAGCAGGAGATCCTCCCTGTTGGATCGCCTCCTCACGCTTCCGCAATTTACTCCTCACTCTCATTAGCTCGAGCGGCCATGGCGGCCGCGTTTTGCTGCAGTGGCGACGTCGCGCTGCCACTGGCCGCGTCGTGCCGCGACCGGCTCGACGCGCTGCCGTGGCGTCGGGCCGTCGTTCTGCAGTCGCAGCGTCGACGTCCCGCTGCGGCATCGATGCTGCCTCTGCCGTCGCGACGTCGACGTCCTGCTGCAGCGTCGACGGCGCCGTCGGGCCGCAGCCGGTTGCGTCGACGCTTTGCCGTGGCAGCGTCACCTTGCTGCCGTTGCAGCGTCGGCGTGCCGCCACAGCGTCGACGCCGCGCCCTGGCGGCGTCTTCATGCTGCCGCGGCAGCGTGGATGGGCGGCAGCGGGCAGCACGCCGTCGTAACCGCCACCTGCCCGCCCTCCTGCCAGTAAGCGCCGCGCCACTTATGGCGCGTCGCTGAAGACTCGCCTCGCCCCGCCCCCTCCCCTCCCCCCCCCACCTGCACCTGCTTCCCCTGCATCCCCCCCTTTCTTGCTGCAGCCGATGATTGCCATGTGAGGGACCTCTCCACCGCCAAGGAGACAGGACATGCCGCCGAGAGGGCGGGGGCCGCCGCACCAGCCTCTGTCTTTCGAGCCGCCGGCGCCGCCGCTGTTGCCGCAGGCCTGGAGCCGCCGCAAAACCGCCGCCGCCGCCGCCGCCGTCACTGTCGCTGCTGCCGCCATTGCCGTCTCAAGGGGCCGTGAGACCTACCCTCTTCCGGAGTCGTTGCGGCTCCTGCTGGGAATGGGGGTGCTGGGCTAGGGGGTGTGGGTGTGGGTGTGGGTGTGGGGGTGTGCGTGGGCTTGACACTACCAAGCCTAGGGGGTGTGTTAAAATTATATAAGTTATAATTTAATATAGGCTTGGTAGGTTGTTACTGAACCTTACTGTAGGGGGTACAAACCCCTCCTTGTACTCCCCTCTCTTCCTAATCAAACCCCTTCCTAGATCCGTTCTTCTCGACATTCTCTCCCTTCCTAGATCCGTTTTTCCTCACGCTATTCCATGGCGGCCTTCTTCCTAGTATCCTAGCCAACCTAGCCTCCTAAGTTTAAGAACCTTGAGTCCTAAGTTTCTAAGACAACGAACTAGTATTTGTTCTAGGTTTCCACCTCTAGTTATTATTCCTTCTCACGTTAACACCGGTACCATGTCAAAGTATCGAAGTGAAAATCATCCAATGCATACAAGGTCATATTAGGGGTTGATGTTGTTCTCTCTAAGAGCACAAACCCATCTAGCCTATAACTTGAGATGCACAGCAAATGTATAAGTTGACAGGTATAGCACCACACTATTGTGTTACTCTGGACATACAATTGCTCCAGCAAGGTCCTATAATGTCGTATCTTCAATGGTGTCTAGATACGTTGCAAGTAATCAAAGCTCTGTGAGCTGCAGCGCATCGAAGTAGAGCCCATCCTTCCACCACCCACTCTCCGTCTCCCACAACCGCACACTCAGCCTAGGAGCCACTGCCCCCTCCCCTGCGGTGGCCCCCCGTATGACCACACGGCCTGCATGAAAGGTGGTCCAATCAGGCAGCATGGCAACGTTGGCAGCAGAGATGCGCAGCTGCCTCTGCTCGCCTCCCCCCCCTCCCGCACTGCCCTCCTCCCTCACGTTGCTCCATGTGGGCCGCCCCACCCAACTGAACCAGCACCGCTGCTGCACGCGCCCCCACGCCTCCCTCCTTCTTTCCCACACCTGCTGCTGCCCTGTGCCCTGCTGTCCCTGCTGTTCAGTGTGCCATTGGTCTGCCTCGTGCTCGCGGCCCACCAGGCGGGGCATGAGTCTCGCCATGTGGTGGAACGGGTTGCCACCCACACCCCCGCCACCACCACCACCACCTGCCGCCTCGCCAGCGCGTGCACCTGCCATCCCCTCCCCCCCTAGCTGCTCCTCGCCATCCTCTCCTCCTCCTCCTCCTGGATCCAACTCCTCGCCCTCATCCTCCTCCCCCCCCTCCCCCTCCCATTCCTCCCCCTCCCATTCCTCCCACTCGTCTTCCTCGCTCTCCTCCCCACCCCCCTGGAACAGCCTCACGTGCCTCCGCCCCTCCCCTCCACCCCGCTCGTACTCGTCGCGGGTGGGGTCGCGCGCCATGCGCCACGCCACGTCATACTCCCCGCAGCGCAGGGGGAACGGTAGCGCGACTTGCGCGCTGAGGTCGAGCCAGCACACGGTCAGCAGGTGCGGCACCTCGGGGAACAGCGCGCCAGTGGCGCTGCGCGTCTCCGTGTGCCAGTAGCGGCGGTCGTTCAGCCACGCGATGCCGCACGCCTTCGCGATGCTCACGCTCAGCGTCAGCTTCGCCGTGCGCGGGTCCATGCGCGCGTGGAACGCCCCACCGTCCAGCAGCAACCCCCGGCACAGCTCGCGGCACCACGCGCGTGGGTGGCGCTGGTGGGAGGCGAGCGGTAGCGCGGTGAAGCAGGGGTGGCGGCAGAGGTCGGGCAGCGCGCGCGCCCACGCCACGGGGGACGCGGCAGCAGCGCGCCAAGCCGAGGAAACGAAGGCGCAGCGGGCGATTAGCGCGGGAGGGAGGAAGGAGAGCACGCACGCGAGGCAGTCGTCAGGGAGGTCCGTGATTCGCGTCGTCGCTGCCATCCAGGAAAACTCACTTGGTAAACTCGTGTGAGCCATGTCCTGTGACGAAGGAAGAAGAGCCTGCTGGTGACGTGTTGGACACTCCACTTCATCTGGTGAGGGGCAGGGAAGATAAGGGCGTGGATCATAGGCTGCGAAAAGGCGGCTCGTACGGACTTTTTGAAAAGGTTAAATACGGTACTGCGTATTTCAGTAAAACGCAAGATGGTGCAGGGTGGTGACCCCTTCGAACAGACCCCGTTCGAACGCCGCTGATCAACCCCCTAAGGACGGGTCAAAATAGTTCAGGCGCTGTTCAATTCGTGCAAAGTAACCCTATTGTAACATCGTTTTTGTTTCGCGAGAACCAGTGTGCGAATTTGCGGTAACTCGAGACCTTCGATGCATCTGAGGGTACATGCACCCCACTCAATACACATGCACCCTAAGGGCGTGTCCCCAAAAATCGTTTGCACGTTTTTGACACACGGAGCCGTTTGACGGTACGCAATGTGAATCGATTTCGAAACCGATCTCGCTTTGGGAACAGGTCCGAAATGAAGGGTGCGGTTCGGAAGGATAGCACCAAGACCAGCACAGACATAGAGGCGGGTAACAGGGTCCCGCCATGCGAAACCAACACAACAGGCACGTGCAACAAAAAGAGGGCCAATCGGCGAAGCGGGGGGTAGGTTGTTCGCTAGCAACGTGCGAGGCTGCAAAGTTTCGCACAAATATTTCGCTACAGGTGGTGTTGGTATTGGTTGGCGAATTTGTTTTTTGTGCGGTCTTTTTTTTACGTGCGGAGGTACCTGGAAACGTACTCTTGTGTCCGCCAATTTCGGGTGTGAGCTGGACGTGTCCTATTCGCGCGTGTGTAATCAATTTCCATTCCTTATGGGTCGTACGCTAGCGCATACACCCGAACTCCTCGACTCGTCACGTTCGGCCTCATTTGTCGGCCCAAGCCTTTCCCGAGTCGCGTCCGGCACTGTCGCCACATTGCCGAACCTACCCACGTTCCGAGGTTATCGCCCTAGCACGCCAACCCCTTATATAACCTCGTGCCTTCATTGCAATAGCGACATTGTATTCTCACGTTATAATCCATTAACACTTCCTATATCATAACTGCGTATTTTATGGTTACACACCTAAATGTGGTAACTGGACTCGGTGTTGTACAGAGCACGTACTTTAGTGACACGCCCTAATGCGCTCGACGCATGTATTAGTTTTGATTCGGGTGATGGTAGGTGTACGTTTAGGGGTGGACACGTGTGGCGCTTCGCAGTTTCACGAAGTCGGACTTGGCGATAACAATGTGGCCTCGCAAACAGCCCGCATGGCGCAATGCCAAGCCCGGATTAAAGCCTAGGTCCCAAAAGTAGAAAAGTCAACCCCTGGGCAGTGGGCAATTATCAAACTAGGGGCAGTTTGATCAGGTTCGGGTTGGTAATCGAATCCACAAACCCCCTCTATGCAATTTGACATCACGCAGAACCTGCCGGGTTTTTGCAAGCACCCCAAACGAGCCAACGCCTCTTCCCTCAGAGCTGCGCTAGCAAGCCCAATGAGAGCTCGAGGTGCTTGAGCACTGTTTGATATGGAAATATGAGACCAAGCAAACCTACGAGTCACTTGCAATCGCGGGACAAGAGCAACTAGATACAGTCCTAACAGACTAGAGTCGCCTAGCTATGTGTTTAGAAAGGTGCATTACAGAACAAGAGCGACGAGAGCAGAGCATGTGCTCCGTAGTGTGGCTCAGCGAGACAGAAAAGGTGGTGCTAGAGGGGGTAGGTGAGGCGAGATAGAAAAGAAATGGCAGTGCGGGCGAGCTGCGGGGAGAAAACATGGCACATGTCGGAGGTTTGGGTTCGCAAAGTGGTTCGGGACCGAAAAAGTTGGCCGAGCCTAACCTTCCAAGAGTCGAGGGTATACACTCTATACTGTAGTCGAGCCCAGCAAAGAAAGGGGATTTTCCTTACACCACCACCCCCTTCCGAAATGAGGCTACCTACATCCGAGACACGATGTCGTTGTAAGTAGTCCCAGACAACCTTGTTATCTCCGAGCGTAGTTGCAGGCAAATTAGCCCAACGGACAAGGAAATTAACGGTTGTTGGGTCTCCGGTGACCACGTATGTGAGCGAGAATCTTGGCCGGTTCTGTCGTTGGCTTGGGTACCGGTTGACCGTTTGTTGGATTGAGATGTTGACGACCGAGGTTGGTCCTACTTGGGACGAACGGCTGCAGAAGGCTGATGTGGAACGAATCGTGGATTCGCCAGTCAGTGGGTAGCTGTAGTTGGGCGATGACGGATGTCACCATGCCGATAATGCGAAATGGTCCACCAAATCGTGTTCGTAGTCTAACTGGAAGGGTTATTCCCAAATTCTTGGTATCGAGCAATACCAGTTGCCAAGGGGCGAGGCTTAAATCTCGGCCGTGCTGATCAGCGTTCCACTTAGCCATCTGGTTGGCTTTGGTGATGGCATTAGTGGCTTTTTTGCTGAGTATGTCGCAGGTCTTCGACAAATTCCTAAGACCCAGGAGTCGGGTTCTTGACGGGTGGTGAGAGGGGAGATTCCAGATCTAGTATTTGAGGAAGAACAGCGACTGAGTAGTCGTTGCAGATTGAGCATTATAATAGGCAGACTCGATCAAGGGGAGGGAATCTTCCCACGATGTCAGGTTTGTTTTAGTCGTGCGAATCAGCTACTCTATAGTCTGATTTGTGCATTCCAGTCTGTCTGTCCGATTGCGGGTGGTAGGCTGTGCTAAGATGGAGACGTGTGCCATATTATTCTCAGACTTTTGTCTAGAAGTTGAACGTAAACCGTGGGTCTCGATTGCTAATGGTTGCCGATGGCATGTCATGCAGCCGCACGATGTTAGGGAGGAATAATTTCGTTGTCTGCTCGGCGTTGATTGTCATTTTGCAGGCCGTAACGTGAGCCGTTTTCGTCAAGCAATCTTCGTAATTGAGGATCGCATCATTACCACTTGGACTGACTGGCAGGGCTGTGACGAAGTCCATCGTCACTTGTTTGCCGGGGCTTGCTCGGTGGCTTGAGTGGCTGCAATAACCATTGCTGATTGAAATCAGGTCGACTTTATCAGCTGACATGTGGCGCAAGAGGTATAACATACCGTTGCACATCCGTCGATAAGTCCGACCCATAATAATGACAACTCATGAGTTTTGCCATTTCCTCAATGCCGTAGTGACCCGTAGTATGCGGTAGGCGGAGGACCAAAATCCGATTGGTACTGGATTTTTTGTAATAGGGTCCTTATTTGGCGGTTAGCTATTGGTGCTATTGGTGATATAGAATGGATCAGCATTCTATCTGTGGGTGAATAGGCCCAGTTATCATTGGGTTGTTCTGGGTAAATAGGATAATGGCTGTGTAGACAGATGGGGTGGGTTAGTGAGTCGGCGATATTGTTGACCCCTCGCTTGTAGGTGACACTTGTAATGTAAGTTTGACTAAATGAAGTCGAGGCTAGCGGATATATCGAGGATTCAGTGTCGTTTGGCGCACGGATGAATTGCCAAGGGTAGGAGCACCCTCGACGGACGGAGGACGGGCAGGGTCACAGACTAGAGCGGTGGCGTAGTCAAGGTGGCGGGTAGCGGTAAAGTTAGTGACGACATCGACAAGAGCGGTCAAGACTAGAGACAGGAACAGACGGGTCGGGTAACAAGAGAGGTGAGGACTCGAGAAACAAGGGGACTAGCGGTACGGAGGAAGTCAGACATGGGAGGCGGAGCGATAGCCATCGACGACGGAGGAGGCCACGGGAGGAGGGGAAGACGAGATGCGTGGGAACGTATAATATAGGGTGAAAGCGCTGGATAGGAGAGACAAGACGAGCACGAGAGGACGACGAGACCAGTAGTGAGACGGAGGCTTGGGTCAGGAGACACAGAAGGAGACACAGGAGAAGAACGCGGGGGAAAATGGGTCGGAGACGAGTCTGGCGGAGGAAACACAGGACCGTAGATAGGCAGGGGAGGCGCAGGTGGACGGTCAGGGGAGGGAAGACCAATGAGACGAAGGGTTGACATCGCTAGCTCTGATACCATCTCAGAGGAGAAAGATTGACTAGAATATGTATTACATGATAGTTTTGTTAAATTATATCTTTGATATATAATTGGTAGGCTTGGTAGGTGTTACTGAAACCTACTATACAGGGGTACAACCTCCCTCCTTGTATCCCTCTCTCTTCTATTCTCGATCTCTCTTTTCTCTCGTAATTTTCTCCTAGCTAAACCTCGTGCTATTCCATGGCTTCCTAGTGTCCTTCGTTCAATATGGTATTAGAGCAGGTTGCCCTTCCCGGGCCTACTCCCCACGCTTCCGCCGCGTACTCGTATTTCACTCGTCCCTACTTTCGTACCACCGTCGCGGCCATGCCGCGCTGCAGTGACGGCGTCGTAGTGCTGCCATCGCTGCCCCAACGCGTGGCGTCGACGCCACACCGCGGCGACGGCGTCGTGCTGCCGTCGCAGCGTTGATGTACCGCCGCGGCATCGACGCCGCGCTGTGGAGGCGGCGCTATGCTGCGGTGGCGGCGTCGACGAGCAGCAGCGGGCCGCGCAACGTCTTAGACATCGCACGTCCTGCGCGCCGACGCCCGCACGCCAGCCACGGGCGTGTTGCAGAAGCCCCGCCCCCTCTTCCCTCCGTCCCCTCTTCCTCGCCGCAGCCGATGGCTGCCTCCCACTGGCCTTCCCACCGTCGCGGAGCCCGGCCACGCCGCCGAGTGCTGCGAGCCCCGCCGCCGCCGCTGTCGACGTCGCCGCCTCACACACCGAGGGGTTGACTGGGGAGGAGGTATAGCCGTTGCTACTACTGAGTATCGGGGTGCTAGATTTAGGGGTGTGTGTGGCTTAGTGTCCGGTGTGTGGTGTGCTTTGGGCTACCAAGCCTAGGGGGTGTGTTAAATTATATCTTTGATATATAATTGGTAGGCTTGGTAGGTGTTACTAAAACCTACTGTAAAGGGTACAACCTCTCTCCTTGTATCCCTCTCTTTTCTATTCTCGATCTCTCTTTTCTCTCGTAACTTTCTCCTAGCTAAACCCTCGTGCCATTCCAT